AAGATTAAACAGTAACTTGTATACCATATATAATAACATTTATTTATCACTGTTCTGATAAACAGCAATTTAATAGAGCAAACAGTATAATTAAACAGAGCAAACACTGCATATCCATTCATATACAATTCTGTATGACGTATGTGAAAAACTAATGGATTGGTATCATGGTGGTGACATTAGAGTTACATTCATGTGACCCATAATGACCCTTTTGCACTTTCACAAATTCTTGACCTTTCCTTTAGAAACACTCTAATGCCTAATAAATGTCAACATGCTTTGTGGTACTGTTACACAACATGTTGGTTTAGGGTTAATCCCTCTGTCCAACGCAACACTTGCTAACATTGGTATAATTAAGTTACAACATAATACCCTGGGTTTCACAGGCAAGGCTTAAAGGAGAACTCCGGTGCAAAATGAACCTCGGGTCGGGTGTAATAACACATTGGTACAGACTAAATCGTTCCCTGAGATTTGTTTTCATGATAATCGAATATAAAGAGTTTTATCTCTAAAAACAGTTTAGCTTATAACGCTAGTATATTGGCATAGAGTAAGCAAAAAGAGATCGCTAGTTAATACCACTAACAAGGCTCAAATTAGCCCCACACTAACACGGCAGCATAATGAGGGTCCTTACATGCAAACTGAAGCATTGAGAACTTTGTAAGTGTATAGACAGTTTAATAAGAAGATACTTTACACAGACAGTACAGTTAGCGCATACAGACAGGAGCCATCTTGGAAAACAGTCTCGACCAATCGAACCACGAGGGTGAGCGAACAGTACGTGTAGATATTGAAGATAAGATAAATTATATTTATTTTTTTATTTTCTCTGTTGCGATAAGTGCTTCTCTTACGCGCTCAGTGCTTTCTTCCGGAAACAACGGACCATATGAGATTCCAAGTCACAGTTCAGCTCACGTATCACCGTGTTCGTGGTTTGACTGATCGAGACTGTTTTCCAAGATGGCTCCTGTCTGTATGCGCTAACTGTACTGTCTGTGTAAAGTATCTTCTTATTAAACTGTCTATACACTTACAAAGTTCTCAATGCTTCGGTTTGCATGTAAGGACCCTCATTATGCTGCCGTGTAAGTGTGGGGCTAATTTGAGCCTTGTTGGTGGTATTAACTAGCGATCTCTTTTTGCTTACGCTATGCCCAATATACTAGCGTTATAAGCTAAACTGTTTTTAGAGATAAAACTCTTTACATTCGATTATCATGAAAACAAATCTCAGGGAACGATTTAGTCTGTACCAATGTGTTATTACACCCGAGGTTCATTTTGCGCCGGAGTTCTCCTTTAAGCCTGTAGTCCAGACTAAAATGCACGTTTGAGCTGTATTACCTGAAAGCAACTTGTAGGCTATACTGACATATCTTATGTCAGTGCCATTGTTTTGTCTCAAGATGCACACCAGTAATGTTTTTTTCTTCTAAGGTACATTTTTAAAAGCTATAATTGAATGCCCAAATTTAACTAAGGCCTAATCCTGGCTTTATATCTAAACCCTGTCTGTGAAACCGGGGGTTAGAAATTAAGGGGTTAACCCTAACCTTAACCCTTGTCTACAGACTTTTATTTAACAGCATGGATACTCCAAGGTGTTGACTGCAGTGGTTAGGTCTTTAGCATTTATAAAGGACAAAGATCTTCTCACTGTGACAGTCTGTAATGTATTTTAGCAATGATTGTTTGTAAGGATTGTCCCTAAAATAGAGCTATTGATGCATTCAAGACATGTCATAAAGATCGTATTTACGAATTGAACACACATGAACGCAACCACAATGATGAACATAGGAAGTTATTTACTGTAAAATTAGGATATTTTTTTTACAGTGCAGTATGAACATCTGTTCTGAACTAGTTCTGGCTGTCAGTGGACGTTTAGATAATGGCCAGATTGGACATCTTTTATTTACGTAATTTATTGACTGTTTCTGGATGTCAACGGACGTCCAGATTATAGTCAGTATGAACGTCTTTTCTCAACTAGTTCTGGCTGTCAGTGGACGTTTAGATAATGGCCAGATTGGACATCTTTATTCACGTCATTTATGGACCATTTCTGGATGTCAACGGACGTCCAGATTATAGTCAGTATGAACGTCTTTTCTCAACTAGTTCTGGCTGTCAGTGGACGTTTAGATAATGGCCAGATTGGACTTCTTTATTCACGTCATTTATGGACCATTTCTGGATGTCAACGGACGTCCAGATTATAGTCAGTATGAACGTCTTTTCTCAACTAGTTCTGGCTGTCAGTGGACGTTTAGATAATGGCCAGATTGGACATCTTTATTCACGTCATTTATGGACTATTTCTGGATGTCAACGGACGTCCAGATTATAGTCAGTATGAACGTCTTTTCTCAACTAGTTCTGGCTGTCAGTGGACGTTTAGATAATGGCCAGATTGGACATCTTTATTCACGTCATTTATGGACTATTTCTGGATGTCAACGGACGTCCAGATTATAGTCAGTATGAACGTCTTTTCTCAACTAGTTCTGGCTGTCAGTGGACGTTTAGATAATGGCCAGATTGGACATCTTTATTCACGTCATTTATGGACCATTTCTGGATGTCAACGGACGTCCAGATTATAGTCAGTATGAACGTCTTTTCTCAACTAGTTCTGGCTGTCAGTGGACGTTTAGATAATGGCCAGATTGGACATCTTTATTCACGTCATTTATGGACCATTTCTGGATGTCAACGGACGTCCAGATTATAGTCAGTATGAACGTCTTTTCTCAACTAGTTCTGGCTGTCAGTGGACGTTTAGATAATGGCCAGATTGGACATCTTTATTCACGTCATTTATGGACCATTTCTGGATGTCAACGGACGTCCAGATTATAGTCAGTATGAACGTCTTTTCTCAACTAGTTCTGGCTGTCAGTGGACGTTTAGATAATGGCCAGATTGGACATCTTTATTCACGTCATTTATGGACCATTTCTGGATGTCAACGGACGTCCAGATTATAGTCAGTATGAACGTCTTTTCTCAACTAGTTCTGGCTGTCAGTGGACGTTAAGATAATGGCCAGATTGGATATCTTTATTCACGTCATTTATGGACTATTTCTGGATGTCAACGGACGTCCAGATTATAGTCAGTATGAACGTCTTTTCTCAACTAGTTCTGGCTGTCAGTGGACGTTTAGATTATGGCCAGATTGGACATATTTTTTTAAGTCATTCATCGACTAATTCTGGATGTCACCGGACGTCCAGATTATAGCCAGTATGAACGTCTTTTCTCAACTAGTTCTGGCTGTCAGTGGACGTTTAGATTATAGCCAGATTGGACATAATTTCTCATTGTCATTAATCAACTAATTCTGGATGTCAATGGACGTTCAGATTATGGCCTGGACGGACGGACGTGATATCAACCTGTTTTGTATGTCCACAGACGTCGCTTGCTCAGTGGGATCATACATTTTTTAGATAATAAACCAAGAGAAAATAACCCCCGGTTTCACAGACAAGGCTAAAATGCATGTCTGAGCTGTTTGCCATTGTTTTGTCTCAGGATGCACACCAGTAGGCCTACTGCTTTTTTTTTTTTTTTTTTTTTCTAAGACACATTTATAAAAGCTATAAATGCCAATTGAACTAAGGTCTAATCCTGGCTCAATCTAAACCCTGTCTGTGAAACCAGGCCTAAGAGTGGAATAACTGAAGATTCAGAAATGCTGTTATTAGTGAGACTCTGAATAAATTGAACCAATTGCTTCGCAAAAGATCTAAATTCGAAGTGCTCGAAACATCGCACTGTGGAGAAATATGCGGGTCAAAGTTGTGCAAATCATCTGAAGCCATAAATGTTTTTATGAAAGTGTAATCTACTAAATGTAATACAAATAATTGAATACCCTTTAATATGAAGTCTCTGCAATTTGGTCTTGTAGCATAGGCTATAGCCTAATTTTGTGGTGTCCGTTTTACCTATAGCCTGTTTTGGGCAGGTTTTGTTTTGTAGGGCAATTAGAAACAATTAGGCTAACTATCACTCAATTTTCATGATATGCATGTTTATTAAAATGTATTAATTAAAATCATCATGACTTCACCAGATCATTAGCCTACCTACCCTGTATCGACAAACCGGACAAAGGCGGAATTCAAAAAGTTTTTTTCTTGTTTTGTTCTTTTTTCTATTAAAAACAATGTAGCATTGCATATAGCCTAACAAAAAAGATACAGTTAAGAGATATATAACAAATAGCATCAAGGGTGGATCTTACGTGGAGCTCCTCCTCGCTAGACCTCCAGCGGGGAGGAGTAATTGTAATTTGGGCCTAATGGGTGGAGCTAGAATATCCAACCACACCCTAGCCCTACCCACAACTCTATCCCTCCACTCCCTAGAGCTCCAGGGAGGATTCCAACCAGTCATGATCCCAACCCATTGCAGAGAGGAGGAGCTGGTCGTCATTTGACTCTGCACTGCAGTGGGCTACCACTTGAATTTGATCAATACGCGCTCCGAACCAATGATTCGAAACAAATGATTCACAAAGGTTTCGAATCCTCATGAAGCAGTGATTTGAAAGCGCCCCCATCATTCATTCATTCATTAAAAATATCTAGGCTAGGCCTACTCTATTTTTTTTTTTTTTTTTTTTTTTTACATAAGTAGGCTATAGCTTCAACAGCGTTTTCAAAACAGTTTTCAGTAAACAAAAAAAGTAGATTGTAATTTACAGCTAGCCTATGCAAAGGGTTATTGATAAATCGGGCGGTTATTGACAAAACACACGTTGCCTATTGTTATGTAGCCTAACATCACTTTAGATTTTCACAAATATATGGCAAAAATCGTAATATATAGGCCTATATATTATTATATTAGCTAATAACTGCAGTATCTGCGCCGAAGACGTTCGCGCGAGACGAACGTAAACCGACTGCACCCATAAAATTGCCGACATTAAAAATTCTTTTATAAAGCTGCTCTGAAAATACGTGAATAGTTTGCGCATTGGAGACAGGTTCACTAATGCGAGCAAATATATGCAGTTATATTTCTCTCCTTTAGGTGTCACTGTTGTTTTGATCTTCCCCAGGTAATTATGCTGAGGTGCGCTAATGAATCTTCTCAGTTTTCAGGTAGTATCAAGGTCACAGAAATTTAGACGGGCATTCATTTACTAGGGAGGGAGCAAAGCACAGTCTCACAGCACAAACTAAGATTAGGAGCCTTTACATTTCTGCTTGGGACATCCCCGCCGCAAATGTGATGCAGTCGCTTGCACAAGAAATAAAATCCTTCTCCAAAACTAAATTGCGAAAACAATGCACCAGAGTAACGACTTTGAGCGGCAGGCGGATTATTGAGACATGGAGAGGTTCCACTGTACAGGTGGTTGAGGAAACAGTACAGCCTGAAACTGCATGTGGATATGTTCAGGATAATAACTGGGATCTTCAGGTTGGATATATTAAACCATATATGTTGCTTGGTGAGTAGTTGATCTTCTCATTTGACACTGTAACAAAAATACGTAAAACCTCACATGATGGCCTGTTTTAGTCATTATATGTAATGTATAGAATTAAATGATTAAAAACTTTGTATTGTATCATTTTAATGTTGTACATTGTGTACGTAATGAATGCATTAAATGTAATATGTATAAAGTAAAATGATAAAATAGCCTATAAATGATAAAAAAAAAAACGTTATTACAAATGATTCTAATAATGTAATATATTCTTAAATTTTTAGGTTGCACTTTATTTTAAGGTGTCATTGTTACAGTGTAATTATATATTTAAGTACTGTAATATTAATCAACAAAATGTCCTACTATTAGGGTTATGTAGGATAAGGGATTGGTTGAGGGTTAGTTGTAAGTAATCATGCATAATTTACTGTTATTACTATGGTAAATACATGTAACATATGTAACAAGGACACTGTAAAATAAAGTATTAGCGATTTTTATATATCCTAATAGTAATGAATGATTTTTAATTATGTTTATTTCATAGGGTCACAAGATGCCGCTCATGACTTTGGTACTTTGAGGAAATATAAGGTAATGTGCTTGACTGATTTCTTATTTACTTGAGTTTATTATTATTATTATTATAGCATGTTATTATCATTTATAATGTAACTAAACTTGATGACGTATGTGTTTCCATTGATTTCAGGTCACACATATATTAAATGTTGCGTATGGTGTGGAAAATGCCTTCCCTGACTTGTTCATCTATAAGACACTGAGCATAATGGATCTGCCTGACACTAATATCATATCATATATCAAGGAGTGTGCACAGTTTATAGACCAGGCTAAAGCTGAGGTAACATTTGCCTTTTGTTTCTTTGCATAGTCATAATTATATAAAATATACATTCGGTTAATATCATGGGATTTTGCACAAATTCATTTGTTTTTGCTCAAATCCTTGCATTTTGCATAATGTAACACCAATGTATGGAGGTCTGGCAGCATTAAAAGAGGGATATTTCATTCTCTCTGTGTAATTTCCTGAGTGTTGGGCTTTAGCGCCTGGCCTATGTGATACTGCATCGGTCATCCAATGGCTAACTCTCTTATTCTAGGTGACCATGCGGAGGAGTGCTGAATAATGGATGCTGAGTTTTCACAATGCATTATTCAGCAAGTTGTAGAAAGATCATATCACTAACGGGCCATTGTTTGTCATACAACCTCTTTACTAAATAGTGTCGCCAGTCACCCTTAACCTGACACTGCCTCATGATTCAAATTCTCTAAGGTTTATGATTACAATGGCTGCTGGAAATAAGTTTCCATTCCTTTGTAAAATGAGCGTAGCACCTCCCGCCACCTAATTTACTATGTCGTCTATGATGCAAAGGGAAACAACAGCTCAGTTAATCAATTGATGTTCTTCTCAACTCGACGGAATGTGGTTCTCTCACCCGTAACTTGCAATTTTGTAATTCCTTGCAATTAGCATAGGATTAATTACATGCTTTATAATGGAGTATGTAATGATGTGAAATTAAATGCCTCCAGAGGGATTCTAGTAGCTTCCGGAAACCATTTATTTTCCTGCTGTTTGACTGAACAGTTGTTTTTTCTCTCCAGAAAGGAGTCGTACTTGTCCACTGCAATTCCGGAGTTTCGCGTTCTGTCTCGGTTGTCATTGGATATCTGATGTTAATGGAAAATCAGGCATTTGGTGACACGTTTGCACTGGTGAAATCTGCTCGACCGGCCTCTTGTCCAAATCCGGGTTTCATGGAACAGCTGAAAAACTTCAGACCACAAGACGCTATACAAGCAAATGGTTTGGGTCATGATTGAACATTATTCTGCGGCTGCATTCACTCAATGTTAAAAGGATAATTCACCACATAATTAAAATTCTGTTTTCATTTCTCATCCTCGCATCTTTTTGAATCTTTAGGTCTTTCTTGGTCCCACTTTATATTAGGTGTCTTTAACTACTATGTATTTACTAACATTAGATAATGCACTTACAGTATTGAGTTCATACATGTTTTTACATTGTACTTGCATTTTATAAATACCTGCACGTAATTACATCTACAATTACACTGTTGATCCTTTCTCTACCTCAAACATACCTATACAACCAAACCTCTATCCCTAACCTTACCTGTATCGTTTTTGCAATACAACATAAACACAATAAGCATTGGAATTATTTTTTTTGATGTAGGTGCATAGTAGTTAAAGACCCCTAATATAAAGTGTGACTACTTTCTTCCTTCTGTAGAACACAAACTGTGATACAGAGAATGTATAAGCTGCTCTAATCTACTCGTTTCCTTAAAGTGAATAGCTGTCAAGTAAGATTTTCAAGGCAAATTTGGTAAATAACTTAAATTTCAGTCTGTTCCTCACACAAAGCTTAGAATATAGCACATGAGTTAGGCTATATATGCAACTTTTATGGAGTTTTTTTGTTGTCTTTTATTGTTTTTATCATTTTTTCACACAAAAAAGTAATATATGATATGAGGGTGAGTAAATATTGGCAGAATATTGTTTTTTTTGGTGAACTGCTCTTTTAAAGCCACCAGTGCTTCCATTGCAGTCTCATATATGGCTTTGATTTAACACTTTGGAATTGTCTTATAGGTGCTAAACCAGCCATTCTCAGAGTGTTCTGGCAAGGTTCTCTCAAAGTTATGAATAAATGTTCTTCCAGTAACATTAACAGAACATTTGTTCAAAGTTATCTGGTCTTTAATAATGTTCAAATGTCTGAAATTATGGACATTCTTCTAACATTTTTAACTGTTACTTGTTTCAGGATGTTCAGAAAACATTCAAAAGTATCCCATAATGTTTGCAAAATGGAATGTTTTCTTAATGTTCGCATAACCTTTATTTTTTATTTTTTATTAGGCTATTTAAAAAAAAGACATTTCGAAAGTTCAGAGATCATTCAGAAATAATGTTGTCACAACACACTGTGAAAAAAATGTTCTGGTAATTTTCTGTCAGGACATTATCCATTAATTTTTACAGACATTTCTGTTAACCAAAACACAGTGCAATGCAGTGCATAATTCAACATACAGGTAAAACAGGTAAAAATTCCTTCATATTACAGTATACACTATGGCCTATTTTTACAGACAGTTTTTAGAGTACATCATTAGCTTTTAGGTCATGAGTTGGAATTTGAATTAAATGACAGGAAGAGGTATTTACTGAATCGCAGTACTAAGAAATTCACTATAATTACAGAAGAGTTTGCATTAGTTCCCATTTCCAATGTACCGTATTATTTGTAATTCCGTAAATTCAATTACAGTTTAATTACAGGAATTCACATTCAAAGGCCATTAACACCCAGACACTCATTTAAGTAGCTTCTATGGGGTATACATGTCGTATAATAATAAATCAGCATAACAGAGTGTATCCTTTTTAGATGCAGTTATCATCCTGTTCTGCTAAATTCATCAGGCGTTTATAATCTTCTTATCTGATAGTGACATCTTGTGGTCACAGCTCACATTTAGCCTTTTAATCTGTTTAGTAAAATTATTAGATCCAATTCAGTTTAAAAATAAATAAATAAATAAATAAAGAATAACATTCTTTTCTTAAACCAGCTTCTTATACTCAGTAACTTGGTCTTTGATAATAACACTAGGCATTTTGTCATCATTTAACTTCCTCGGTTAGTGTCTGGGATGTTAAACTATATTTTATGCAATAAAGTATCAACCAGAAGTAAGGGACTAGTTGAAGTATCCCTCTTACATCAAATCTTTTGTAATTTTGTAATTTTCATTATATATTTTGATGTTTTTGTCCATAGATTGCATAGTAATATAGTGTTTTTTTTTATTATTATCTTAAAATACTTGTTTAAACCTGTTGTGATTTTCTGAAGGTAGTAATTTGACATCATATTTTTATTTCTTTATTAGAACTTCTTGAATTTTGTGGTGTAGACCGAGCCTGTTTTTGATGTTAATGTATGAATCTGTGGAATGGATTATATTGAATAAAATATGTGTATAAAGATACCTTACATGCCTCTATATATTTTTTTATAAACTATGTTTTTGTCATTGCCTTTAATGAAAATATCAAATTAAAAAACAAAACAAAAAAAAAACAACTAAATTTCAGTCAAATTAAATGTATTCAATCTATAAACTACACTGGCCCCATAAACATAACATAATCTCACTGTATTTTCCATGTCATAGTCTACTGAGAGAATATTGAACAGAAAAATGTTTGGAATTGCTTATCAAAGGTAGGCTAAGTGTTATTTAGATATTTGTATTATTTATTTATTAGTTTTTTACAAAACAAATTGATTTAAAATGTTTTAAATAGATAAAGTGACTATCTTGCTCCAAATGAATCTGCAAATGAAACGGTTTATTTATTAAACATCTCCATTTAGAATAGGCGGGGTATAGCGCCCTCTGTGTGTTCGTGATAGAAATACACATTTGCAGGGCGAGGGCGTGCCGTGCATGAGGATACCTGAGAGGTAGCATGCTGCATACACGAGAATATTACGAGTGAACCAACCGAGATGACTTATCTCGAAAACATAGGGAAACTCTTTGTGCAATTGTCGTCACTTCAGCTCTATCTCCTATGTTGTTTATAAACTCGGGGATTTGCTTTTCCACATGGGCACTTTCTCATCCAAGCTCTCCAGGAGAAACATTGTGACCGTGAAGCCCAGAGAGTCCGATGACGGCAGAGCGAACCGGGATCCGACCAAGAGCCAGACTCGGGTCATTAAAAATTCAGTTCAGAAGGTCAGCCGGGAAGTTCAGAGGGAGTCTGTCATCACTGAGGCAGGCAAGTGATGAGAGTTTCATTGCTGTTTTCAACTCTGTCCGTGCTGAGAAAAGTTCGACATGGTCCAATGACGGTTTTGTTTGTTAACTTTCAAGGCGGGGAAAATGCTGTCAGACATTTGGTTGACAGTTATATCAAAGCTATGTTTTTATATCAGATAATAATTAATTCACAATTAATTACAGGGGATTTGTCACTTATGAGTTGCGAATTAAGGTTTGAATCCCCTCAAGGGAGGTCTGAAATGCTACATAAAATTATGGCAACGTTAGTTGCAACAAAACATCGACAAGTAATAATAGTACACTGTAAACCCGCATAAGTTGGCACAACTCAAAAAATTTAAGGCAATAAATTGCCTCAAATTTTTTAAGTTAAGAAATTCAAAGTTTAAGTAAGCAGAACTGACATATTTTTATTTTGTATTTGTACATTTGAATTGTTCTTAACTTGAAATGTTTGAGTACACTAATTCATACATTTAACTTAAAATTTCATGTAATCTCAATGTGAACACTTTTATTAGTATAAACTTAGCTAGCTTTAACAAGCTAGTTTGCTAACATACTATTTTGTTAACTTCTTAACAATAGTATGCACAGTAACACTTGCAGCAATATAAAGGTTTTATTTGCTCTCAAATCAAGCTCATGCACCACTTGTCACCATGATGGTAACTATCCTAAAACCAACATTAACAGAAATTCTTCTAAATTAGCATAACGAAACATTAATCATTACTAAATCACCCGCTTAACATTAATCTTGCACAAAAAAAACATTGTATTACACTTAATTTTAGCATTTACTCTCCCTTTCGAGTGCCATCGGCAAAGCATGCTGGGAAATATACATCCCAGCCGTTTCAGTTAAACTTAAGTTCGTCTAAATTAAAAGAAATAATTTCATAAAACTCAAAACAATGAAACAGTTCAGTTTACTTAAAATATATCCATTCTGTGAACTTGAAAGAAAAAGAAAGTGCTAAATACTCATAAAAGTTAATTTGACTGAACTAATTAGTTTAATTTAAGTTTTTCCTACTCAAACCAATTAAGTATTTTGAGCGTTAGGGTTTACAGTGTAATAGTACTAGTAATAATTTATATTGTTATTATAGATGTACACCACACAAAAATATAACAGAAATCATTAGTGTTAGTTTAGCCTACTCATTAAAAAAACTGTCACCATGAAGTCAAATTTGACAATTCCTATTTTTTATGGAATATTGCAGTAGCCTATTTATTATAATTTATTTATTCATGAACATGTGCCACTTGCCCTCATAATCTTTTATCAAAATAACTTTACCTACTCTACTCTGTGTACTACTGGCTCTAGGGAGGGACAACCTCTCACATAGATCAACCAATAGCAAACCACAACCGTCCAACAATCCAATCGATTCCCAATGGACAATATCAAGTCCCGCCCTGTTTTTTCCCTGTTCAAGAAGCTGGCTGCATCCAAAATCACATACTCTCTTGAGTAGGTACTTATTTTGAATGAGCAAGTACTTACATAACCGCTAAAAAAGTAGTATGAGTGTGTAAATGTAATCCGGACATACTACATTCGCCATGTTGTCATTATAATGTGATCCACCAGCGTCATTTACGTCGCTTTACTGTCATTCACTAATCCTCTCCTTTGGGATAGTGAAGTGTCCATTTTATGCACACTTCAGAATCTCGCTGGAAGTAGGTAATCTGGGTACTTTTTGCCTTCTCTTTTACGAGTACTGTGAGTTTGGACATACTGTAGGGCTACTTCTTTTGTCACAAAATGTTTTTCGCCTACTATAAGGGAAGTATGCGTTTTCGGATGCAGCCGTTGTTTCACTCAGATATAAGTCACAATAGGGAAGAAAACACTATCACAACTTCTGTTTCATGCCAACTTTATAACCTCATATTGGGTTAGCTAACTGACACGAAAATGCCTACAGGAATTCATTTAAAAAGTTGACCCCTCTGAAACTCCTTGAATAAGCATCATGCGCAATATTTAGCCAGATATGAGGTCTTTCCTTTAGACCTCGTCTATTTACCAGGGATTTCTTCAGCAAAAGCTGAATTCAGTGTTTACAATGTTATCTGTACCAAGCACATTGGTTGACAATATTACAAAAATAGTAAAAGTGGAAAACATACAGATATAATTGTTTTGGTGGAAATTTATG